AAGTGGAGAATTCAATTGTTTTTAGTATACTCAAAGAGTTACGCAACCATCACCAGGATCTGATTTTAGAACATTTTAACATCCCATAAAGAAACCCTAAACATATTATCAACCATTCCCAATTCCAACTTCCCATCCCAGACACTGGCAACTACTATCTGATTTCTGTCACTGTGGATTTGCCTATTCTAGACATTTCATATAAATGGAAACATACATTGTGTCTGGCTTCTTCCACTTAGCATAATGGTTTTGTTTCATCCATGTTGTAGCATATTTCATTATTTGTTTGTGCTAAATAATATTTCATTTTATGATTATATCACATTATGCTCATCAATTCATCAGCTGATGGACATTTGGGTTGTTTCCACTTTTCCATATTATGAATAAGGTTGCTATGAATATTAATATATGAGATTATGTGTGGACATGTTTTCAAATCTCTTGAATAGACATCTAGGACAGATTGCTTGTTCATATGGCAACTCAATGTTTAACTTTTTGAGGACATGGCAAATTATTTCAAAGGATTACACCATTTTACATCCCCACCAGCAATGTACAAGAATTTCAATTTTTTCACATCCTAGCCAACATTTACTATTGTCTGTCTTTATTTATTGTTATCATCCTAGTGGGTGTGAAGTGGTTTTTACTGTGGTTTTGATTTGCCTTTCTGTAATGACTAATGATTTTGAGCATCTTTTCATGTGCTCAATGGTAATTTTTATATCTTCTTTGGAGAAATGTCAGTTCAGATCCTTTGCCTATTTTTAAATTGATTTATTTCTTTATTATTGAATCAAAAGAAGCCTATATATAATTGATATATTATAGATACAAGTCCCTTATCAGGTATTTGTTTTGCAAACATTTTCTCTGATTATGTGAGTTGTCTTTTTACTTTCTTGATGGTGTCCTTCAAAGAATAAAAGTTTTAAATTTTTATGTAGTTCTGTATACATACATACATATGTATGTAGTACACACACACACACACACATATATATATATATATTTTTTTTCTGCTTGTGCTTTTGGCGTCATATCTAAGAAACCATTGCCTAATCCAAGATCACTAAGATTTACTCCTATGTTTTTAATCAAAAGTTTTGTAGTTTTAACTGTTCTATTTTGACTTAATATTTTTATGTGGTGTGAGGTAGAAGTTGAACTTTATTGTTTAGCTTGTGGGTCTAGGTGTCCCACCGCCTTTTGTTGAAAAGACATCTTTCCCCGTTCAATTGTCTTGCCACTCTTGTCGATAAATTAATTGACTATAATTTGAAGGATTTTTTCCTGGACTCTCGATACTATTCTACTGATTTTCAGATTGATTCTTATGCTAGTGCCAAACAGTCTTGATAGCTGTAGCTTTGTAGTAAGTTTTGAAATTAGAAAGTGTCAGTGCTCCAACTTTGTTTCTCTTTTCCTTTTTATTATTTTTAATTTTATTTA